GCAGCCGCCTGTCGCTGTTAACGAACAAGGTAAACGAAGTGAGTTCTAAATGACTAAACTGTCGCTCACCGTTCCTCTCCGATATTAGTTTACCGGCAAAACGCTTACCCTGGGTTGGCTCAGTCGACTATATCTTACCTAATGTTCGGCCTAGCTTACCCTCTACAGCACAGTACGATTGTTAGAATCCGGTCTGTGACCCATATAACGCCACTATGACTATTTACTTGCCTAATGTAGAAAGACCTATTATAGACGTAACCCTGAATGGATGGATACTCATTGTCTCGTGCCGACTTAGACGCAACAGCAGGATAGCTGGTTAGACAGAGTGGCTTGTTTCCTGTGTCACCTCAGCCCGAAATAGGCCATGCAAGACAGCCTTTAGTGGTGACTGCTTCATCTGTAACCGTGTTTAGCGCTCTATTGTACACAATACTATTAAAGTAATTCATATCCACGAGCACAGTTACTGGCTCGGGGATTAGAGTGATCAAAATAGCATCAATTGGCAAGAGTTTGAGATGGTCTGAGTGATATCCGGCAGGCAACTACAACTCGGATCCACTCAGAAATCATATGCATAGGCAGAGATCTGGACGCTTTTTGCGTCGTCAAGGCTGCTGGCAAGACGATACTAATGCGGATCGAAGCGGAGAAACCTTTTGAAGGATTTAATGTTAAGTTGAAAATCCAGCATATGAGTGGTGACATAATAGACGTGAGCGTAATTTCGGTGTCGAGGAATGCACGGCATATTTCGGCACAAACAATGCCTGCCGATGCTGTCACGGCTATCGTTGATATAGAGTTAGTAGACATTGTCGATGCCATAATCAGGACATTCGTGAACGGCCTTCCAATGTCAAGCTGACCACTCAACAAAAGCGCAGCCGATTTGTGACTGTTGCATACTCGATACGGTTGCGGCCCAGCGTTGACCTCCTCCTGCATGTTGATTAGCAAAACATACTGGACAACGTTTGTGGCTTAAGAAACCCGCACTGCACAGTGACGCTCGAGGGAACGTTTCCTTACGGAAAAATACTATCGCAACCGGAATTTCTATATTACCGCGCCAGCCACCGTAAGTTCACGCTTTACCCGAGGTGACCGGTCGTAAATAAATCGGCTCTGGCAGTCGGTTGTGGTCATGATCGATACTTAGGGTTTAATCCTGTGGCACCTCTTTGAATTTCCTTCTTTGCCTCCAGCCGTATTTTCTGAATAAGTGACGCTTTCTTGCGGTGTTAAGCATATCGAAACGGGTAGAAGATCAAGGCTTTGACTTTTTTGGCTACCTCTAGACACTTCTCCTCTGTTGCTTAATGACAGACTGTTCGCGTGGTTTGCGCTCATCAGCTGATCCTTATGCGTATTGTCCCTTAAATCGAAAGGAACGCTTGATGATACCGCCGCCTAAACTTCGTTCTGAGTATAAGAGCTTTCAAACACTTCGAGGCCCTTTAGTGTCATGAGCACGGATTGTGTGTTAAACTAGCTAGCGTTGAAAATCATTGTCATATTTAAATCGAAAAACTAGATCTTCCAGCTTAGCTTTGCTTTGTCTCCAAACCTTCGATGCCGTAGCCACAATAGAGTACGTTCAGTGTAATACTGTAGCTCGCGTGACTGACGTCTAGTGATCGCACCAGGTTTTTGAGAGCGTCACGTAATAGATTCATCAAGGCAATTAACGTGTTTACGTCGGAGGCCGTCGATCGATACGGCATCCATGCAGTGAATCGAAATCAGAAGCACCGGCATAACTTTTGCCCTCCGGCAAGTGGGTTTGGCTGTATGACAATAAACGGCAGCGATGATGCAATGGGTAAATAACCGGGCCTGTTATTAGTCATTCTCCAATGATTTAACACAGCCGTTCAAAAGCATGTTCGCCGTCGGTCGCTTTATTGCACGTTATGCCCTAGATAGTGGTCGCTGTACTGTCCGAAAACAAAAACGTAGCCGCTTACCTGTAGCGTATGTTTTATCGTCGGATGAATGAAATGATAATGAGCCTATCGAGTCTTATAATTGGGTTCAGATAGTTTTAGTTAGGTCCTTAAATTTGCCACGAATTTCTATTGACAGTTTCGGCAACGTAGAAATTAGCCCTACATTCTTTGTCACAAACCCATTTCTCAATCGAGTCTTCTTTCCGCGTCACATGCTGAATCTGATGCCGCTGAACAGTTCTTCAGTCGTGAACAGTATCCCTGTAGGCGGAAATCCAATCTTGATTTTGTATAAACGATCTCGTACACAGCACGCAGAGGATCACTGGAAAGTCACCAGACCATTAACTCAGTGCGGTACCTTCGCTTAAAGTGGTATCGCTTTGCAGAGTTTGCTGGCGTTCGAATTACCACAGCGCAGGTGTGCTAACAGCGCAAATCATCCTGCCCCTTGGGGCCAGATCCTGATTCGTGGTCAGTATTCTAAGGGTTTACCCTTACAACTAGCGACACGCATGCCGGATTTTTCTTCTGTATGCTTTTTGCTTTGTAATCCAATCTGGCCTTGCCACAGGCACGGGTTGGATGATTCCTGTCGTTTCAGAAATCACCCTTGGGAATTTGCTACCTACGCAGCTAGGTACGGCCGCTAGCAGTTCCGTGTAGTACGAGGTTCTTTGGCATTTACTGCAAAAATGTCGGCACGGTCCGATGTTTCGCGAGCGATTAGATAGACATGCCAGCATTACTGCTTAAGATTCAAAACACAGAAAATCATCTAGCCCGTAGTTTGTAGCTGATTTCGGTACCTGATGAACATATACGACTATTGAGTAACATATTATAGAAAAACGCACACCAATAATTCAGCTTGGTTCTCGAGAGTTGTATGTGTATATATATATATATATATATAAATGGATGTTATCTACCACGACATGTGTTTGCCCCTTCAACGCTTAATTTGCGACAGGATACGCTGTGTCAGTTGAAAGCTAGAAAGTTGATCCAATGTTAAACAGAACAACAGCGGAAAGCTACGCCAGACATTAGTCTGGTGTAGCTTTCCGCTGCTCCCCTATTTGAATGAAACATAGAATGCAGAATATATAGTGTCTATAAGCAGGCGGTTCATGTTCACGACTTCGAAGCGTAACCTGATTTCGTTAGGCGATGAAAATGCCTTGTCGTGCTCAGAACCAACCATTTGAGGCAATATTTAACTCAAACAGCGAACGTAGAGATCCACCAAAAGCGGCGTCAAAAGCATCATTAGTCAAGCACGACTAGTCACTGACGCACAAGCTATTCCTAGATGAAAAAAAAAAAAAAAAATGATCAACGCCGTTTTATTTTAGGCACAGGAAGCGACCAGGAGGAAGGCTCACATTGTTGTTTTTGAACGTCCCGGGTATACGCAGATCGGTTAGCAATTAGAGCTTAGCCACTCTAACTAAATTCTATATTTATATCACCAATTTACTTTATCCTCAGTTGCCATTACCGCTAGAAGATGCCATAGAGAGTTCCTGTGACCTGACTCGCTCGGCTTTTGACAAACGATTTCCTTATCGTTCCTCGATACAACCCAGATGTTTAACCTTGCTCCGGAACACTGCACCCACCGAACTCGATATGACGAAAGACATCCCACTGCTTTTTTTACTTTTCTTCTTTAAGTTGGAATATCTATTGAGGTACACATTGTAGCCGCCGATAATCCTAGTAATTCTTATAACAAGTGAACATACTATAGACAGCAAATTACTTCTATAAGCGAGGCTGCTTCTTGAAAGTGAGGATTAAGACTGACCCCTTCGGCTGCAAAACAACGGAATAACGACAATACAACGTATTCAAATTGTCTTTCTACGCAAAAGGACCCCTCAACCTTGCTGCCAAATAAGGAAAAACCGCTATTATCAGTGACTTTCTATACTGCAAACTTTATAAACTGGTTACTTTTTCATTTATTAGATAGATGATCTATGGTTATTTTTGTCTGAAATCATTTAATAAATCTTGGTGAACTGAATCCTATAACTTGCCTACCTTTTCAGTCAACAGTATCACTAGCCCTTTAGAAACTGACTGTACTCTATGCTTATTGTACATATTATTCCAGATCTTTTATATATTTAGAATCAGGAACATTGATAAAATGCGTCTACTTAATATTTACGCAGAAATACGCAAAGAAATACAGAACTAACGCTGTTTGCGCATAAATCTGCGTCAAAAAAAGGTACGTACGATAGATACTACGTAAAGCTTGCAGCCATTCACCGTTTGCACAGTGATTACCCGGTACGGTGCTTGTTCTTTTTCGGACTCTTAATAAAACCACTTAACACAACGGGCTAAGAAGTTTCGAAGTGGCATTTTATATGCCCTTATTGTTTTTGCCAAAATAAATAAAAAATAATAAGCGACAAAGAGGAAGAATGGTGACTTGTACAACGGTACATCCGTGCACGGCAAAACAAGAAGTGACCTATTTTTTCCTGACCTAAAGAATAGCATACAGACTTTGCTTGGCGTTCGTGGGTAACGTATTGCTTTCACGTTATATACGCTTTGATGATCTGTTGCTGCTGTTGTGAATTGTAGCACGTACGGAAGTAGACACGTAGCGACAAGGTGGACAAAATTATATCTATATTCAAAACGCATAAAAGATGTAAGTAAGATGCAAACCCATTCCGTTATGATGTCACCGAAAAAATAGCTGAAAGCTGCGGCCTTTCTAACGAGATCCTACGCTGGTCAGGGGGTGCCGGTTAAACTCCGATACAAGCAGCCGTTGTCATCACCACACGACGCAGGTGACACGTTTCGCTGAGAAGTTCGGCATTATTTGAATATATTCATAGCCACTAAATTCATAAACACTTCATACAACTGGATATTTTGCCTCAGTTTATCGCTAAGTGTATATATTAGGCCGAGTTTTTATAGTGGTTCTTGTGTCCTGCTGACCGTTTTTAATTTATTAATCTTCTTATGCACAAGCGTAATGTGCTGTCCTGACATTCTTTTAGATGTTGTAAAGCTGTCCTAATTTCATTAGGATTACAAAATTTTGTGTCGAGTTCGGTGTTCGAAAACTGCTAAATCTGATTATCGCGTTATATCGCTTCTTTGCCTAGTACGGGGTGGGGGTAACCAATAACAACCAGGATGATAAGCTCTTTCACACCGACGAAAAGTCGACGTCGCAGCCGTCATTTCGTTCCCTTCTTTTTTTACCGTGAAGATAAACTTTTTAAGCTGAATGACAACGATCCTGTAGGACAAAAAAGTGCTCTTCAGTGACTGGTAACATCTGATTATCAACAGATAAGATCTTAGAAACGAAGAGCAATGAAGAGGGATAATTCATCTTCGAACGATCGCTAGTTGGCATATAATTTGATGCATCCAGATGCATTGACTTAATTGAGCTGGGTTCGAAAACCGGAGCGAAATATTGATACGATACTCTTTGGCTAATGATACGGCTAATGGAATTTCGCTGTTTTGTTTGATCTTACCCCATAAACGCCAATCGCCTTTAAGACAAAACAAAAAAAAGGCCTATAATTCGTCAGCATTAAGATTACGAGCCTCACGTTCAGCACGGTCATATACGACACTACTCCAACCAGTTGGCAGCCCTTGAAAAGTGTCATAAAGCTTAGAAATTACTTGAATGTGGGGTTTGACATATTACAGGCTCGTTCGACCCCGCTCTAATCGCATAAATATGAACATTTATTTATTTTGGATTTGTTACGGTAACTCGTTTGGCTGCTTCACTTTATAGGACAGACAGACACCTACGCATCTACAGGCCTACGCATGTTGACTACCTAGAATACTAGAAAGATTTAGAACAAATCAAACACTATAGCCCTCCCAGTCATATATTGATTTTAGCAGCCTAAGGTGTTTACGCTTATCAGAACAGCTACAGCCAACACTAAATGTAGGCGGGAAACGTTGTTTCGTCTTACTAATGAGACTAGGCGTTATGAACAAGAGCGTCTATGTATTATTGTTATAAGTACTCGACTTACGCGTTCCTTTCAGCATTGATCAAAATATTCTTTACTTCTATCTGATAGAACAGACCGGGGCCATAGATGATGCAAGACAAGACCGTCATTGTCGATACCCCTTTCAATTGAAAGGAGCATAAGTGAAATTACAAGGAACTCGTTCGGCGCGTGTGACGAAAGTTGTCCTATACGACCCATAGTTATATAGGCGAAAATGCATTGCCCGTGCGAAGATGAAAGTTCGATTGTGTACACTCTATTCGTCCAAACTGGAAAGTGGTAAACAGCTTGTTACTATGTACAAGTCTGTTGCCCTGAAAGGAAACTCCAACGCCCGATTACTTATCTCTCACCACTTGGCGAACATCAAAAGATCCTATTAGATCGAGAACTATGTCGTAATGTGTTGTAGGTAAAACAAATATATACATAGCAATCCACAGATGCCAAAAAAAGAACGTGCCATTCACGCAAAACCCACCTTATTGTTGTCGACATGCCTTTGAACTCGCCTAAGAACTTGAAAGTGTATAGGAACATAGGTTATCTATTGTCAAGCTTAACAGGTTTATCGGTAATTTATCGGTAAGAATTAAAGAAAGAGAAACTTGCAATCTGTTGCCCAAAGCCCTGCGCTTGCCCCTGTTGCCATGCCATTGCTAAACTATTTTCATATTGTTCGCTATTATTGACTCAATATGGCCTCATTCTAGTCTAGCGAAAAAAGCTCAGATACCATACTAAATTCTAAATAGGATGAGTATCAGCTGGATATCGATTTCACTCATCCTAACTAAATGACCCCCCTTATATGGAAAATGGTTGCTATTTCACAGAAAATATACATAATAAAATGCTCACTTTATATAATTAGTGCTTTAGCTTATTTTCGAGTCAGTTAGGAGATCTACCGATGTTGTAGTTATGTGGTACAATGCAAACAACCTGCTACCGAAAGTTGATCGCAGAAGCCGGGAGACTTCTGCTAGCAACTGATTTTTCAAGGGTCGACGGAAAATAGAACTGACACATGGCCAGCTTAGGAAGACAAGCCACATCATTCCCTCTAATACAGCGCACCAGTTGGATTCTAGGAGACGGATTTGCGCCAAGTGATTGGTCCCACTTCAATAGGAAGCCATTTGTCACGGCACCCTCCTCGTCGTCATCACTAAGCTAAACTAGGAACTCGGAAAAAGCAGAGACAAAATGTCCCGCAGAAGTAGCCTACCATAATTCGAGTACCTATATTTATAAGTTTAGCCATTCTTACCTTATTCTTATTGTTTCGCGACACAATCGTTGTTTCGCATACGTACAACGTTCCAGCTGTTTGTTGAAGTTGCTAGTTAGACGTCTGTCGAATTTATATCATAATTGAGTGTTCTATTTTGCAGAACGTGCAACGTTGTTTTCAATTTGATTCATCAACGGGCCTTGCCCGGGTCGAAATTCGCTCTATATAATATTTATCGTCTCGATTCAGAGTTGGTAAGCGAGGTCGTATACTTCGACAGCATGGCTTTTGTCTCTGCCCACACAATGAAGTAAGATCATCGCAAGTTCCTATTGTTTGTCTCTAACGATCAAAGACTGTCTCTAACGGCACGCTCGCAACGCATGTGCGTACGTGCTAGCCGTTAAAACGGAACGGCCTACTTTCCCGTACGATCGGCCTCCGATTATCACTGTTGACCAAATAAACAGCACTGCCAATTATGATAATTCGCTATGGAACTAAAAAGCTTAGGTGATTACACTTCAAAAGTGAACGTCCATTTCAAAAGGCCACTTCATTAGCCGTTAGAGTATCTACAAAATATTGTATTTCTGGCATATAGGGTCGATATTTAATGGATGCAAACGTATCTTCTATAGTCATCATAGCTTTTTCCACATGTATAATTCTTATCAGACGTGCATAACGTACACGCTGCCGTACGCTTCGTACAAGGAACTATGTGCAACCTAAGCACGGCTAGCGACGTCTGAAAACGATAACATGTGATTTGCTATGAGGGTGGCTTAAAAGCCTTTAACCATTTTTTTTATAACGAATCGTAGGCTCAGAATAATTAGGCCGAACTGAGGCTTTCTCCGGATCTGCCAATGAGCCGCAGCTGTTTCTGGAAACAGTTGTTCACGAATGCAGAAAATGCAACACTGCGGAGGGTGGTCACGTACGCGATTGTTTTAAGAAAACACAAATCCTGCGGCTGGGCTACTAAAACACGAGAAAAACTCAACTATATTGCCCACTCCTTAACGGCCATGTTTCCATCTTCTGGTACAACACCTTCTGGTACGGCGATCTTCACTGCAGCCTTATTACATAAGTATATACTACTGCTATTAAAAAATGAAACTTCCATCTACGTCTGCTAAGTACGAAAATGTAGATTTGCTTATGATACCAACCGTCGGAAAGCTTGAGCAAAGCACCCTTCTTCAGGACTGTCGAAAAGCTTCCAGGAGGTAAATGAGATGGAGTAAACAACAACAGCGGGGCTATAAATTATGCACAAATTTGCACCGCACAAAGCTCAATCAATGGAGTTGGCGTCAGTTTACGTTGCCCCGGTTTGTGATACGGCCTGACAGACAGCTGGTAGCGTGAACCGTAATTTACCCTGTTGTGTACTTTACGTTCGCCTGTACGTAACTGATGAGGTCATCCTCAAAGTGACTACAAAATCCGAACAGAATTCCTCCAAAAATTCACGGTGCAGTAGATTAACTGTGAAAATAGAGTGTGATCAAGGCTCTGGAAATTTCTATTCCTATAATGCTCTAATGAAGGCATCGCATACTATTCAAAAACGTACGTACGCTTACTCCCTCGGCCATGAGTCAAAAAGTTTATTTATACCAAAGCGCGTCATTTCAGCTTGAAAGCTAAATGATATTCGAGTAAAAACACTACATCCGTGCCTACTCACAACAAGAGAGATCCGAAGGGTGACTATGCTTTTGGATCGATCTGCCATTAAGATGTAAACATGAAAAATATTGGCCTTAAAATTGGCCTTTCGAAGGTATATCAAAACTCGGACACCCCGATGTTCAAGGAAGGAGGCAACAATGTCAAATCACAATATCACGATCCGTAAAGCCTTTGCAAAACTTCTTGCGCACATTTAAATTTCCCCTATAGTCGGTAAAATACAATTCTAAATATACTAAGCGAAAACTGCAGTCTATTCTAATCACATTAACAGGCAACTCCGTAGGTGCTATTTAATTGATTTCATGCGGGTTTATCATCAATGGACCAATAGAATTTTTAATCATTAGGGTTTCAAAAGTTTTGGATATTAGATGGAACGTAATCGTTCAAATAACGGACAAACATCTGCCCCTAAGACTCCATAAGGTACAGGAAATTCTTTCCGACGTTCGCCCAAACAATCGCTCGGACACGTATCGAATGCCTCCACCTACGTAACAGTCAAAAACTTAATTTTACATTTTTAGCTGGGTCAGATGATAATCAACCCAACTGAAAGCAAATTAACCGGAGTGAATTTACATCGCCAGTCTTGAGTAATCTTTCGGAACTGGGTACACGTTGAATGATGAACAGTAATCCTGTAGTAGGCCGGAAGCAGGTAATTAGTATTTTTTAGGAACACCTGAAGGGGTTTTCATATTGCGGTGGAGCAGGATTAAACTGCTGGATCTTGGTTCATAACAGAGACGACAAAAATTGTATGCTTCCGCCGAAAAGTGGAATAAAGGAGTTGTTCGAACGATGTGGCCAAATAATCGGCCAATATGTTAACTTTGGCTGACTCAAGTTCGAGTAAGTTGACTCTGAGGATTATGCAAAGACGGCAAATTTCTCGCGACCTTGTAGTTCGGTGTTTACATACTAAAAAAAAATTGATGCGAATCTATGAAGCTTAAATTTTGTTGAGTAAGTAACATTAGTAGAATTACTCTGTTTGTGTACAAGAATGATCAGGGAACAATGCAACACAACTGCGAGTAAATTGTGCTTTCTAATTTTGTGATCATGCAAGCCTCAGGCGACCGTGGGATTGATCCGATCAATCGAGATTAAATAGTACTTCGCAAGCTTTGTGTACATGTCGTTTTCAGATCTAGAAGGATTGGAGAAAGAGGAAGAGTCTATAATGCCGAAATGTAATGGTTTATTTTTTTTGTGGTTAAATTTGCCGGCTGCGCTATCGAGCTCCGCAGGATTAAATAAAACATTCGATGTCCTGACATTCGAAGCTTCGCACCTCAGGGCTTTCTTGGTTGTAATAACGAAAGCTGTAGCATCCAAGGAGGCTCCGGAATCGAAGGTTGTGAGTGGGCTCCCGAACCAGAAACATACTAAAATGTAATTACACTGTGAAAGAGATTCAACAGAGCTGAAACCAATAGTCACATTTTCAATTGAATTGGAATAAGTTCCAACTCAAAAGAGCAAAAATAAACACAACTTATACGTAAAGGAAGGTCGTCATTCACGAATAAGCCTTTTTGGTTATAGGCTCAGAGAATACAGTGACCAACTAGTCTGACGAAGGCTGAAGTTCCCGGCTAACATAGCTGGGACCCAGGAGCAGCGTGAATGCCGACCAAACTTCAGAAATCCCGACATTAGTAAGCTTATAGATATAGTGTGTCGTGTCTTTACCATGCACATATTCTCCACCTCGACAAGATTATGGTGATGTCTGTACAAATGCTATACTTATTATACGAATGCCGTCACGGCATGGAGAACGATCAAGACGACAAGCGTTACGTCTAGCTTATTGTTATTCTAATAGTTCAGCCTTAAGCCGGACTGTGAAGAGGAATCCGATGCTTGCATTTATCAACATGCAGTCAGAATGGACTGCACCGGATATGGACCCAGATCGAGGACTGAACTAAGGCGAATTAACATTTATCTAACAAACGTCAATATATAACATGTAGAGGTACTATTGGTATTTGGGGATTTATTTGGAACAGCTAGAGCACGAAACATCGATTATTCGTTAGACGCACCCACTTGCTGGAACACGACCCTTCCAGTGGGCATTCTTGGGCCGTGGGCAACTGAGATGGAATTCGCTAATGAGTGGTACAGAAGCCAGAAAATACGGCCGTCGACATCTTCTAATCACTGACGAACCCGTGAGGAGCCCGTAGAATATAAATCAGTTTTGATATGTAATAGTAACTTGCCATCCTTTGTACAAATTCACATTGACAATTTCATGTATTACGCCAAGCAAACAATATTGTGTAATGATGTGTCTAGTATACGATAATACGAGCTTGTTGAAGGAAGAGGAGTCGATCAGAAGTAAACATGACCGGTTATACCAGTTCTCGTCTCGTAAGTGTTTTTTTTTTTACATGACAGTTAGATGCAATTATGAGCAATAAAAAATCCTTTTTTGTTATATATATAAAGCCAAACGTATAATGCATGATACCTGGAGAATTACTACCCAGTTTATATAACGGAAACGCACAGACATTCCGCACTAAACGCCGAAAGCAATTGACTGATTATGACATTTTCCAAGGAAATTTCTCTATCTACGACACAGTTAATCTGATAAGCTGGCCTATCTTATTGGCCTAGATGTTAAACTTCAATTCTCTACGATAATGGACAACGATCAAATACAACCATGACAATGACCTAATGCAGTAATAAATTGCTGATGATCAATTGTTCTATAAGTTAGCATATAAAATTCATACGAATATTATAACGGTTAACTTTTCCATATAGTACAACATATATGTAAAGAATAAAAAATAACTTCATAAGTGAAGAGGTGCCTGTTCGTATAAATATATGGAGATAAGTAGCTCTCTTTTGTGCCTTTGCATTCACTTCATTTAGCGATTATCCGTATTAGACAAAACGAAGTCGGCTTTTGTAATCAGCTGGACCCTTGTCGTTTTAAATAAGAGGACAAACCGTGCACATAAAAATATCGTCCTCGTTATTATCTTCGTGACAAAAAGGTAGAAAAGGAATAAAAAAAAAAGTAAAAATAATACAAGCTTCCAATCAAAATTGTGTAGTCCACTAAACTATAAGCCTATATCAATGTTTTTGTGTATGTTTGTGTGTACTATTTCGCTATCTTTATCCAAGTATAGTAAAGTTTTGTTTATTTCTCATGTAATGGTGCTGCGCGGAGCTATTGTTGTAGCCAGTAAAATATCTTTGACAAATATAGAATTTAGTAAAGAGTCGGGAGAGAAAACTTGTACTCCATTGACGAGGCGATATTACTACCAGCTCGAAATAAAGCTCATATTCTGGGTTACAGTAACCTCTTACTCAACGACTTTTAATAAGGTAA